ATCTCCCAGATAAAAAGTGGAAATGTCTATTAAAATTTGTCATTTCACCTTCTCTTGCTTCCTGCCTGGCAGGCACTTGGACTCAATGGGTGCAGGCAGGTACATCAGTTGTCTTGTTACCCCATGGACAAAACCACAGGTAAAGGCTAGAATAGGAAGTGATATGGAGCCTGGACCCTTGGTGGCTTTCTTCAGTGGCTACATCAGCGCTAAGCTGTGCCTCCAGACTTCTCATTATATGAAAAAGCTAAATCTCCTTATACATACCTTGCCTACATTCCATCCGTAACAACACTATACTGAGTGTTTTCCCCACATGGATTACTCCTGACCTTTGTTTTTATAAGCTCTGGCCTACTCCTCCTCCTCCTACCAAAAGCCATGTCACTCTTGCCTCATCACAGGCTTCTTTATGACTCTCTACCTCAACTCTTATTTGACCACTTCTTTATTAACTATATTTCTCATTTTCTATACTTTTGATGCTCTGGTATATGGGGTCTAGTTGACTAGGGAGAAACTGCCCCAATTCTTAGAAACAGCAAAAAACTCACCAACAGGTGTGACTTTCAAATGCAAACTAACCAATCCAGAGCCCTTACTCTGAACCACCTCCTTTATGTAGCTTTTACACCAGAAGTAACATTTCTCTACTTTAATCACCCCAGGCCCAGATTGGACAACTATGGATCACCCCTACAGCCCAGAACTTCCAGAAATTGTTAGTTAATCCGAAACCTACTCAGCTGCTTACCCATTACTTCATCAATTCTTTTCTTCTAGCTTTTTCTTTTTATATTGAATTTTTATTTATTTATTTTGGTGTAAGAGGTGAAAGAGATCCAGCTTTATTTTTCCCCCCAAACGGTTAGCCAGTTATCCCAAAATGATTTATTAATCTATAGGGGTCTGAAATCTTATCATCTACTAAATTTCCAGATATATATTTATTTTTGCTTTTGGACTCTATTCTCTAGGATCTCCTATCCTTTTACCATAGTTTAATTATTGCAACTTGACAGTTTTAAGTGAGCAGAGTTAGCCCTCATCACTATAGTTTTTTATATGTCCTTTCCAGCCATTCTTACCTGTTTGAAAAGAAAACATTTTTCTAATTTGATTTGAGAATATTTTCTAAAATTCCCCTCCTCTCTCTAAACCTTGTATTCTATTTTATCAAATTTACAGATTGACATAGGGAGAAACCACATTTGGATATTATTAACTTTTCATAAATAGTACAAATCATTTTTGAAAATGTTTTCTATGACTCACAGCAGTTTATGTTCTCATTATATTTGGTTATTGCTGGCATATAGAAAAAGCTTTTGTATTCTTTGTATTTCTATGACTTCAACTCAAACTAAGTGGCTTAAAAAAACAGAAATTTGTTGTCTCATAAGGCTAAAAGTCCAAAATTTAGGTTTTGGCAGCCATATTCTCTCTCAAGAGATCTAAGTGAGAATCTGTTCCATGGCTTTCTCTTACTGCCTAGTGTCACCTTGGTGGCCCTTGGCTTGCAGCTATATAATACCAACCTTGCCTGTTGTCACATGGCCTTCTCCCTGTCGTCATACTGTCTTTTTAGGATGCCAGTCATATAAGATTAAGGTCCTACCTTACTCTGCAGGACTTCATCTTAACCAATATCTTTAAGGACCCTATTTCCAAATAAGGTCATATTCTGAGGTAGTGGGAGTGGCGATTTCAACATATCTTTTGGGGGAACATAATTCAACCCATAACAATTCTATATATTCATTTTGTAAGTACCTACTTTAATTTCTTCATTGCTTCTAATTATTGTAAGGATGACTGACTCATGTTTTCCTGATATATATCTTATCAACTGCATATGAAAATACCTTTTCCAATACTTTTGTTTTTATCCTTTAATTTCATTGATTAGTACCTTATCACATAGCCAATAGGTACTCATCTTTAAAAATTTTGCTTCATGCCGAAACCGGTTTGGCTCAGTGGATAGAGCGTGAGCCTACGGATTTTTGAAAGGTCCCAGGTTCGATTCGGGTTAAGGGCATGTACCTTGGTTGTGGGTACATCCCCAGTGGGGTATGTGCAAGAGGCAGCTGATCGATGATTATCTCTCATCGATGTTTCTAAATCTCTATCCCTCTCTCTTCCTCTCTGTAAAAAATCAATAAAATATATTTTTAAAAATACTTAAAAAAATAAAAATTTTGCTTCATTCCCTGGCCAGATAGTTCAGTTGCATGGAGCATCATCCTGATAGGCCAAGGTTGTAGGTGTAATCCCCATTAAGGGCACATACAAGAATCAACCAATGAAAGCATAAATGGGTAGAATAAATTGATGTTTTGCTCTCTCAAATTAATAAATTAAAAAAATAAAAATTTTGCATTTTTTGAAATTTGAATTTGACTACTGAGGTGAAACATTAAAAAACTACCCATTTGCATTTCTTCATTTATGAACTGTGCATTTCTATACTTTTATATAGAGGGGACTTTTTGTAATTTGAAAGGGCTCTTTGTGCATTAAAAATATTAACCTCTTGTGACATGATAGTACCTTGTCAACTATCCAGCAGTCAACAGAAAGCACAAAACCAAGGTGCAGATCTACTGTAACACAAATTAATTTTACCTTTCTGTGCAACAGTCCAATGCATGAACAAATACCTCTCATACTATAAGAGCATTAAGACTAACAGTGGAGTGCAATGTAGATTTATATAAAGCACCCTTGAAAATTTCAAGTACACTAATACTTTTAACTATTTCATAATGCACCATTTCTAAGACATTTCATTTCTTTCCAACTACAGCACTCAAAAGATTATGAAGGACTAAATTATCTGATTAACCCTTTCATATCAAATGCTTAACAGCTTTTGCTCACATGCACTTCAAGTTTACAATGACATTTAAAGCCTTGACTTGCCATCAAAGGATTATTCTGTCCTTGGTTTATCTAAATGACCAAATAATAAGATTTAAGATAACCAGCTGTAGAATATGTCCTTATTAAATTTGATGGAATTTTTAAAAGCCAAGTAATGTAATAAAGTTTGCAAAGTAATTTAGATTAACCAGGTTTGACTGCTCAATTTGGAAGTGATTCAATACACAGGTATAAGCATAGAGACAGCTTTTAAATATTAGGCTTTGAATGTTCCTGACCAGAAAATCGAGAAATTTTAAATGAACAACCTATATAAGGGTAATATGCAAACTGATCAAATAGTGGAACAACTGGTCACTATGAGGTGCACTGACCCACAGGGAGCAGACACTCAATGCAGGAGCTGCCCGATGGGTCAGTGTGCTGCCACAAGGAGAGCACCACTCAGCTAAACGCTGGGCTGATGGCTGGTGAGTGCAGCGGCAGGAGCAGGTGCATTTACTACCTCTGTGGCAGTGCTAAGGATGTCTGACAGCTTAGGCTCACTCTCTCGGGGGAATGAGCCTAAGCTGTCAGTTGGACATCCTCTAGGGGCTCCTGGCCTGCGAGAGGGCGCAGGCTGGGCTGAGGAACCCCCCCCCCCCCCAGTGCACAAATTTTCATTCACTGGGCCTCTAGTCTATCCTATATAATAAAGAGGTAATATGCAAATTGGCGGTCATGCCCTCACAAAGACGGCTGCCTATGACCAGGCCTTCAGGGGGCTTAGTGAGGGATGACCAAACAACTTAACAAGCAGGCTGTGTGGGGCCACCAGGCCAGTGGGGGCAGGGGAGTACCATGAGGGGGTGATGTTAGGGGCACCCAGGCCAGCAGGGGGGCCATGAGGGGCAACTAGGCTGGTGGGAGGGCAGTTGAGGGCAACCAGGCAGGTAGGCAGGTGAGCAATTAGGAGCCAGCAGTGCAGAATTGTGAAAGGATGTCTGTCTGCCAGTTTAGGCCCGATCCCCAGGGATTTCATGCACTGGGCCTCTAGTTATGATATAATGTTTTAACTATCTTTCATTACTCATCCCATTTCTTTCCAAGGGACTTTTTCATACTTATCACCTGGAACAAAATAGGAATAAGGATGGATAACCTTGTTCTTAGGATGTTATACCTCACCAGAATGCAAATGTCCTAAAAGCCCAGACAGAAAGCTGCTGTCCAAACCTTTGGGGAAGTACTTTGATTTACTAGAACTGAATCCCCTTTAGTCAAGAATGTCCAAGTGAAATTCTAGAACCTAATAGCATTAAAACTAGTTTAGATTTGGTGACTTTACACATTCCACACATTATATTTCTATTTATTTATCTATAAACTTTCTTAGAAATAACGTGCCCTTTGTTGTACAGAAAACTACAGGGAAAAGTTTGGCTTACTACTTGGTTCTATCATTTGTATGTCTTTGTTTTGCCTATCTGTTCTACAGAAGCCACTGTGTTATCTGTGCAAGGACTAAGGACACCTAACAAATGTTAACTGATTATACTTTACCACGACACTAAATACCAACAATGTGTATAACTTTGTGCACATTCACTTACACAACTGCTCTGACACTTTAGAAGTTTTATAGATGGAGAGAATTTTTATAAAAATAATCTTTTTATATTATTTTATCAGGGTAGTGTTTTTCACAACCCAACAGCAGGTGGTCATGATCACTATTTAAAAAAAGGAACAGGATAAAAAACATCTGAGAAATTGTACATATTAAGATACTCTGTTTTATGTATATATAGACCCCATATGTATATAGTGGGTCACAATGGAAAATGTTTCTTAGTGAGGTTTGTGATCTAAACAGTTTGAAAAGCTCTGTGTGATGTTTGGGATGTGGTTGAATCCTTAATAGCATTCTTTCTCTCACTCCAGAAGTTAGAGATAGTCTTGCTTTTCACTTATTCTACAAATATTTTTTAGTAACTGTTATATGTTGGTTGGGGGTCAGGTGTTGACAGCAGGGAGAAAAGGCAACATTACTTTTGGAAATTTCTACCTATTGTTACTCAGATGTAGGTTTTAATAAAAGCTTAAAAACAAGTTAATGCTGAATTACTTACAACTGTTCTTAATTTAATGTGCCTCTTGGCCATAAAAATGTAAGCAGAATGTGTCAGAAATTCCCAGGAATAATCCTTCACAGAATGGTAAGCTTTTTGCTGCTTCTCATCAGTACCTAAAGAGAGATCCAGTATAAAATCTATAGTTGTGATAGGAATTGTCTAAAGACACACACACACACACACACACACACATTTTTAAAAATTTACCTTTCTTTTTGGCAAGACAATAATTTTTCCCATAAACAAGTTTCAGGTCCTGGCTATAAAACTTCTTTCAATATTATTTTTCTCTTATTTTTAGGGATATTTATATCTGTATCTAATGTTATGTTCTCTTAAAGCTTTAATTGGTTGGTCAGGAAACCATTTGTATGTATGAATATGTACAATCTATATATATAAAAGCCTAAGTGACCAGAACACCAGAACGACCACAATGACCAGAATGACTGCTCACTATGATGCACACTGACCACCAGCGGGCAGATGCTCAATGCAGGAGCTGCCCCCTGGTGGTCAGTGTGCTCCCACAGCCAACCTCCTGTGGCTAGCTAACCTTTCCTAGTCCCTCCCCATGGCCAGCCAAACTCCCATTGTCCTTCCCTCCATCCAGTAGGCCCCAGCTGGCAGCCAGCAGGAAGGGGGCTTGGCCCCTGATCACAGGCCAGGCCCAAGGACCCCACCTGTGCAAAATTTCACACACCAGGCCTCTAGTATTTATATATTTAGCAAAAGATTGAAATGAAATGTTTTACATTTTATTCAAAAACACCTCAAATGCTTTCTTTAAATGATATCATATTTGGATAACTAAGTATACCAAAAATAAAAAATAAAAAAAGTAAAAGCCAACTTGTCCTGATTAATAATTCCATTTACAAAATATTTTTAAGTCTCCTGGTACTAAAATCTCTAATATTGAACCTCAGTATAAAATTTTATAATGTAATTATAATTTTTATTTCCTCACTCTTAGCCCCTACTCAAGTACTTTTAAAATAGCATATAATATGTTTTAAGATGATGACATCAATTTAGAAATGCTTCTCATGTATGTTACTCTCTGATAAAGTAATTTTCTGCACATAAAAAGATTTTAAAAATGTTACATTCTGTGTTTTAAAACAAGAATAGCCTTTATAAATAACCCTAGGAAAGAACAGTATTATTTTCTCCTTTTCTAATCTTTTTAACATATCCAATACATGTTTTGATTTCTAGTGATCATTTGCAACTTCCCAAATCAGACCAACCATAGTATAATTATGTATTTTATAGTTGCAAAAATTCAAGTTTGTTATTTTTTAAATTATTAAAGTTTATGTGCTATTATTACTATTTTGGTTCATTAGATAGCTGCTCATGTTAGGCTTGTGATATAAGCTCATACACATTTTCTAAAAATAGAAGTAAACTAAATGTGTTGTCATATATTTTTAGAAAATAAACTCTAATGGTTAGGTAATGGGCTTATAATTGTACTGAAAACAAAAACAAAAAACAACCTTGTGATAAAGCAATGCCCTTTTCCAATTAATCAAAAACAATCCAGGTTTAGCTATGGCCAGTGTATTTTGGAGTTGGCTCCTATCTTCCCAACTCTGTGTTCAGAGATGTCACGTTAGTAGCTTAAAATCACTCACAGGATGGAATTTAGACACAAAAAATCAGCAAAAGCTACAACTGAGAGGTTCCTCTCCCACCTCGAAGAGCCATTAAACATTTCTCAGAAAACCAATGGGCAATAATTATTATTTCTTTAAAATACAATTCAATTCTTTATTGTTCATAGGAATCTTATTTGAATGGTTGGTGTTTTCTGTGTAAATTTATCTTTCTGGAAAAAATTTAAATGTTTCCCATTAGTTTATAATAATGAAACTGTTAGGCTTTGAAGGCATAAATATGTGAGGCCTCATCCATAGACAGGTTTTTTCTTTTCTTATTAGGGAGATAAACCCAATTCAGAATAAACTGTTAAAATTTAGATTTTTATGTGGAAAAAAATCAGGACTCAATACTGATGTTAGTTCATGCATTTATTCACCAAATATGTATTATTTATTTTTCAAATATGTGTTATTTTTACTTCTTTCCCCTATGCTAGGCATTGTTAATCGGTACAACAGTGAATAAAAATAATAAAATTCCCCCCCAAAATTGTTTTGGATTTTTCTCTAAAACAATAAAATGGTACCGATACCTGTTTTTTAACTCAAGCCATGCTTATGAAGCAACCAAACAGATTTTGATTGTGTCAAAAAGTCTGTGATTTAATAATGAAAGGTTAATTAAAATATTTTGTAAAAAAGTATAAAATAAACAATTTTATTAGGCGAATTCATTTATTTGACACATTAAATTAGGCAAAGAAAAATATATGTAACTGCATAAAAAGAATCACATTCTGATCCTACTTGAACACACAGCAGTGGTTAAAATTAATAAATTGTGGAATGAATCTAGGATTAATTGCAAAAAAGCACTCTGTACAAAAAAGCTTCAGACCTCTAACTTCACTGAATCCAGTACTAAACGTGCTTCTTTATATTCCTCAGCTTCTTCCAATTCTTTTTCATTCTCCTGAAATGAAATATAATGAAAGGAAGTTTATCGTTTTAAAACTTTAGTACTTTATTTTCACTCAAATATTATAAACCATCAATGTAAACAGCTCGAAAATTAAAAGAAAAAGGATCCCAAGCTTTTCTTACAGGTAACAATGGAAATAGGTTTGGTTTGGCCTCACTGTGTATTCTCATATGATAAGTGAAAAACATGTAAAGCTATTGACATTAAGTGAATAAAAATTTAAGAAAAAATTTAAAAATTTATTCTTACTTTGTTAACACATCACAATGCAAAAAGGATTATTATTACTAAGACTAAAAGTTAAAAATGATGATTTATTAACATGTTACATATACAATAAAATTTAAAACAAAATAACCCTTCAACTAACTACTCACAGTGACAAAGACTACTGGTGATACACTAGAGTTAAGTACAATCTTTGAATTAGAAAACTGAAATGCCTGCTTATTAATGAGAATTATATGCCCTACTACAAGGAAACAAAATACTAACATCTTTTCTTTTCTGATATATAAAGACTAAAATTTTCCTTAATATTTTATACAGAAAACCTTTACTGGTAAAAAATAAATGAAATAATACTACATAAGTTATTGTGCTTAGGAAATTTTGCTAGGTTTTTAATAAATAAATAAAGCTATGGTCAGTAATTCATGTCAGGTCAATAAAAGATAAAGCTATACAAGTTACAGAGCAGAGGGAGTAAAGTGTGTGTTTAATTAATATAAAAAAAGCAAAAGAAGTAAAAATTTCTTAATTCAGACTACTAGTAAAGCATAGAATTCCTTAAACCTCTATATTATATCTAAACATGTCTTTGTTTTCTCTCAGTAAATATAAACTCTTTGAGGGTAAAGATATCGTTGAATACATCCACAAATACATCATCCAAAGACAAAACAATGTATTTTTCAATACTTTCTATTACTTTCTCAGCTACTAGATTCATGAGAGAAAAAAAGTCATTTAAATTGTTAGAAAATACAGATGGTTCTTCTGTCTCTGGGTGTATTTTAATAGAGTAATTATTTCCTGCTTTCACCTACTTTTATTTAAAAATCTTAGATTCATTTTTGGCTGTTAAGGAAAGTTATCCTGCCTTTAAAAAGTTCCTACAGGTAAATATGCTCTATGTCAAAACTAAAGTAAAATGTGAACATTTCTCTCTCTTTCTACAGATTTAGTCCTAATACTATTTGGTGAGAAAACAAATCTCATTCTTTCAAAGAATACATATGGTCATTCTGAAAAAGCCTCAGATAATTTTTGTTATACAGAGAACAACTATGAGTCAAGAGTCAGCTGTGTAGCTAGTAATGAATATTAGTTCAAGAAATATAAATATAAAATGAGATTATTAAATGTTAGAATTCATCAAATTATCACCAAACAATAGTAACAACTGGCTTATATGTAGTATTATACTTTAATCTCAGGAAGGAAATAAGATGACCTAATTATTCTTAGAATTGTTTATAAAATGACTCTGCCACTGTATCATAAGACATTTATAAAGCAAGTTTAATAGTGTTATCCACCTCCAAGTTAGTATGAGAGGACTGTCTACATTATAGGAGTTTTTTTCCACTTAAATTAATTAAGGTTTCAATCTGAAAGAATTCCAGATCCTTTTTATTATGGTCCAAATTAATTTGAAACATTTGGATCTTCGAAAATTTCAAACAATGTGCAAAAAAAGATATTCATGTATCCAAACCAAATAATTCAAGATGCTGGGGTACATTATTAGTACCATGAATACCTAACAAATTAAGTCAAATATATTTATTTAAATAAGCAGAATAAACATACTATACATAGTACTTTTACTGGAGGCATAACTTAAACACAATTTACACTCTATAAATTATTTTAAAATATACTGGTACACAGGGTAAGTGAACAAAATATGTCATCAGCTAGTTTTCAGTGTAAAAATATTTAACATATTGGCCTTTTATATATTAGATTGAAAAAATTTTTAAACAAAAGACGGAGAAGTCTTTACTTACTAATATCTGCAGAAGATCAGTATATGCAGCTTCCAATCTGCGCTGGCAATCTGGGATCATCATCCGGGACTCTTGCAGGATCTCTGCCTATAATAAGAATATCTGTGAGACATGCAGAAATAATAGAACATAAGTGTTTAGCTAACACCTCTGTAAATGTCTAAAGTGGTTTAGAGGAATCAGTAAAAAATTATGGATATGTAAAACAGTTCTATATTTTAATTTAAATTGTGTTTATTAGAAGTTAGAAATTAGAAGTTTATTACTGTAAAAGATATAAAATACAAGTTATAGATCTAAACCTTTTTGGTAATCACTTTTTTGTGCTAAGTGAAAATTAACTAGAAAAGCTTTCCATAGGACATGTATTTTAAAAGGCTATTTAAAATAAACTATTTCTCCTGCTGTCATGAAGCACCTTTATCCAAAATGGGATCAGCTGGTTATATAAATATCTCCTGCATCTTTTGAGTAATAAAGAAAAACAGTGTTCAGATAATATCACATGGAGATAATTACTGCATGAAAAAAGTTATTGAGTTATTGATCACATTGTGTGCACACTGCAGGAGGTTCTCACTGAAAGACAGAGGTAAAGAAAAATGAAAAGCAAAGACCAGCAGGTTCATATTTTTGATGCTTATCATGCATAAAAAGTTATTACTTATCCTTGTGCTTCATTTTAGGAGACAGATTATTCTCCCCATGTAGTTTGAGCCAAATTACCAACCTGGCACCCCTCTGAACCTGAACTTCTGCCTATTCCTCCTGAAGACAGACACTACAGAACTAAACACAGGAATATGTATTCCAGCAGATATTTCTGGACTTCAAATCATTCAAATCTGGATAGTAATATGTAAAATCATAAATAAAAAAAAATCAAATCAATGACTGGGAAAACCAATCAATAAGAGGGTAAATAAGTTAGTTTCAGATGTTGGACCTCAAGTAAGTTTTTTACCTAAAGTGGGGAAGAAACTACATTTCCTTAAACTATTCTCAGAAAGAGACACAGATCTTTTAAGTATTTATTTCCAAAAATTCATGGTTGGCCCTGGTTGGTGTTTCTCAGTGTTTAGGGCAGTGGTTCTCAACCTTTCTAATGCCACAGCCCTTTAATACAGTTCCTAATGTTGTGGTGACCCCCAACCATAAAATTATTTTCAGTGCTACTTATAACTGTAATTTTGCTATTGTTAATGAATCATAATGTAAATATCTATGTTTTCCGATGGTCTTAACAGGTTGAGAACCGCTGCTGTAGAGCAACAACAACAAAAAAGGAAGAAGCTTTATTACCTAACTCATATAAAATAAAAAAGAAAATGTAATGGTAATCATACTATATTTAACAGAAACTTTAAGAAGTCCCAGTCCCCTCCTTCCTTTCCCCAACCAACAGTTCTGTCATAGCTCACACTGAAAAAAAATTCAGAATTATAATATACACAGATGCTCTGCCCACATTTTCTCAGGGAAAATTTGTTGCTGAACTTGTAATTCTTTTACTAATAAAGCACAGGTTAAAATTTTCAAATGTAGAATTGTTACTTTACTTCACAACTAAGCATAAAATGCTTAGATATTTAATTGCTGTCACTAAATTATTTTTAGCTGGTTAGTTTGAATACATGTGAAAAAAATCAGTGGCTGGCACATTTCATTAGGTAAGCCATTCATATTTCCTCCCCTATGGACCTCCCTTGAGAATAGTTTATAGAAATTAAACAAGATGAAACAAATGAAAGAATTAGGTCAAACATATGATAAGCCAAAATGTATACTTGTAAACTTTTTAAAAGCTTTAGTAAGTTGTCACTGAAATAAGCTTTAAACAATGCTATCCAAAATAACTTCTACTCATTATTATTTTATCCATTCTTACAGAGCAAGAATCATCAAACAGTTTATGAAAATGAGAGTCTGACCTATGTGAAGACAAAGTTCAGTCTTTCCTGTACACCAGCTCCAATTCATTCATTAAGCAGCCTATATAGTTGTAGAACACCAGGTACAGTGGATACAAAGATGAAAAAGAGAAGGTCTCCATCTTCCAATCCAGGATAGGAGCATAAACACGAAAACGAATATTTGACACTGCTTCTATAAGAACATGCCACAGGGAGCCAAAGGCTTCCAGTAAAGTGATGACAATGATTTGGAGTCCATAAACCAACCACATTTCTAGCAAGGCCATAAATCATATACTTTACCTCATAACAATGAATTACAACTGTCAGAAATAATTTTAAAAGACAGTATATAAAGTGTGATTATATAGTAGTAAAGACACCCTAAAAACACCTTTACTAAGCTAAATGAGTATTACCTTTCGAAGTGTTCCCTTTGGGAGGAAGTCACTCAAATGAATGGTGCCTCTGCTGAAAATATCTGAATAAACTGCCAGTTTATTCTAATGCTGACTATGACGAGATTGGAGTTAAGTCAGGATCTTGACACAGATTGGGAGGTACAAGGAACCCTCAGGGAATGCAACAGGATGCAGTCCTTCTGTCTTGTTTTTAAAACAAACTACAATTTTTTTGTGGAAGTTATTCAGATCAAATGAAAATTATGGGAAGCTTAGCAAGGCTCAGATTATAACAATGAATAAACTCTGAGCTAAAATCTGATCAATGTCTTTTAAAGTCAAACATATACAAATTGGAAAAAGAAAGCCGTAATCCGCAGATCCTTCTTTTGTTTTCCAGAAAGAAGTGTTCTATGAAACAATCTGGCTAAGGTTAAGTTCTTTTGTAATTACTTGATTGGGATAAGGTTTCTAGCTTCTTTAATGATCCAGATCACTCACCCAGGGTTGGCTATACCTATGATAATCTATAGACACTTTAATATTGTATACTGACTGCTTCTGGAACCAATGGTAACTGCACTAAGTTTGCCAAATTGAACTGTAAATAAGTGAAGAGATTACTGAACAATGGTTAAGTCTTTCCTTTTATATGGTGGTAAAATGGTTATCTATCTACCGGTATCTATGCATGCATCTATCTATCTATCTATCTATCTATCTATCTATCTATCTATCTATCTATCTATCTATCTATCTATCTATCTATCTCCCTAATATGCAAATAGACTGAACAGTGGAACTAAACAACTGGTAGCTATGATGTGCGCTGACCACCAGGGAGCACATGCAGAACATGATGGGTGCTGGCCGTGGTGGGATGATTGAGCAGGTGAGTAGTGGCGCCAGACCAAAGCAGAGCTCCAGTTACTATCATCGGGGCGAGCCTCTGGTGTTTACTGAAAATTCTTTGCTCCCGCGCTCCAGTCCTGCTGCTGGCTCTGGCCCTGTTCACACCCACTGCTGGTGCCCAGCGCTGATCCTGATTGCTCAGCGCCATCAGCAGGTGTGAGCAGCGGCTGCTGGTCCTGATTGCCTCTCAGTGCTTCTCTACCTCCCCCTGCTCCTGAGCAGCAATCAGGGCCAACAACTGCTGCTCGCCCACACTGACGGCACTGGAGCCAACCTCGCACCCACTGCCCACATGCACCAGCCTCACTTGCACCTGCAGCTGGTGCTGGAGCTGCCACTGGCACCCCCTGCTGGTGCCTGGTGTCAATCCCGATTGTTTGGCTCTGTCAGCGGGTGCAAGTGGTGGCTGCTGGCCCCAATTGCCCCTGAGAGCTTTGCCACATTCTCCTGCTCCTGAGGGGCGATTGGGGCAGCAGCCACGGCTCATACCTGCTGACAGCACCAGCCCTGCTCACACCTGCTGCTTGCGCTGGACCCAATTGTTCTGTGCCATCAGTGGGTGTGAATGGGGCCAACAGTGGGAGCAGGGCTGCTGGCAGGCAGGAGATCAGGGGCTGGGGTGGGGTGAGGGGGCTGAGAGGAGGCGAGGAGGATGGGCTGAGACCCTGATCACCTCCCTCCTACCCTAATAGAAGGAGAGCCAGCCGGCCAACCTCCTGCGGTCTCCTCCTGACAGGCCCAGCCCAGAATCATTCCAACTGGGGCCAGGCCAGCCAGACCCCACCATGCATAAATTCATTTATTGGGCCTCTAGTATATAATAATTGCAAAGTGTTTTGAGAAATCTTAGTTGAAATATTGTACCAATTTATCTTTTTACTATTACTTCTGGAAAATAAATGAGTAGTCTCAGGTGAAATAAAAGATATGTCATTATTAGCCAATCATTTCTGTTCTAGGAGAAGTTTAAAGAAAAGAAAAAAAAATAAAGACCAGAATACCTTCCTTGGTTGAAGGCAAATCATCTGTACCTATCCCTAATTGAGGATTGAGGAGAAGGCTGAAGAAAAAGAAGTATATGAAAACTGGAGAGCTAAAATTAATTTGGGCAATATTTGAATGTTATGTAATATTGTTTAGCCAGAAAAGAAAAGCATAGTCGAATAACTCTGACTGATATTTTTGCCTCTTGAGTCCTAAAAATTCTACCTAGTTACTTATTTTTAAAAGAACCAAAATTAGGCCTAGTTCAGGAAAAACCAATTTTGACAAACAATTTCAGGTAAGATGTTTTACTGACAACATCATACATGTATGTTATAATACAGGGCCAGTTCAGAAGACTCAGGGAAACCAGAGCAAAATGGATCCAAGAAAGAGAAGAGTCAAGGTAGTGAGAAGTGGCTGCGGACAGCATTTAACTCAGAAGAGGAGGAAATACAGGGAGAAGACTACAGAACACATAAAATGCAGCACTTGGCTTCCTTGATATTTTCTAGGTGGAGTATAGCAAATGACAAGAGACTACTATTGACCTTAAAGTCCTAGGCAATCAAGAATAGAGCAATGCTTCTGGGAATGCAACTGGAGCTACATATAATACAAAACATGAATGGCTGGCCACATTATAGCTAAAGCTAGCAAAAGGAAATTGAGAAAGCTTGTGAAAGCTTTGGGTTGGGCTAAAGACAGGTTTCATGAGACTCTGAAACAAAACTGCAAATGGCACTGTATACCTTGCAGGTTGACAATAGCAAACAGAAATATTTATTGTTCTGTAAATAGATATGGGATGGTATTTTTGAGTACTAGGTAGACTAAGAATCCAAAAAATCATGTTATAAACCATGAGCACTGTGACAGAAGAAGTTTAACATGAATGAGTATAAAAAGAACTTTTGAACAAACAAATTTCCCTTGTATATCTGAATATGTAATGAATGATATAACCAGTAAGTGGCCAATATTTTTAAGTAACAATTAGAATCAGGATTCAATAGAGTTAATCCTTACCTATATCAAGCAATAATTTATTTAAAAGATGATCAATATATAAATTCAAATGAAATAAAACAGATGTGACATTATTTGAAGAATTTAATTTAGTAAAGGAACACATTTATTCCCCATTCCATGTAACTTACAACTCCTATTCTAACTATAGGGCTATTTAAAAAATATATATTTATTTTTATTGATTTCAGAGAGGAAAGAAGAGGGAGAGATAGAACATCAATGATGAGAATCACTGATTGGCATCCTCCTGCATTCCTACTACGGGGGATTGAGCCCGCAACCCAGGCATGTGCCCTTGACCAGAATTGAACCCGGGACCCTTGAGCCTATAGGCCGACATTCTATCCACTGAGCAAAACCAGGGCTATTAATGGTGATATAAATAAGGCCACTAGTTACACACTTGGGAAAATCAGCCCAATTTCTTTGATCCAAGAAGAATCTAGATGAGTTATATATACTATTGTTATTTTTCTTTAAATGTGAGAAAACAATAGAGGCATTAAAATGAGAGAGGTACAAAAATGACATGAATATATATGGGAGTATATATTTAAAAAGCACTTAACCATCATTATTTTAAGAATCAAAAGGTTATAATCCATATGTAAATCTTCTGAAGATTTGTAGGATTTGAAGAGCTGTTAGTTCATCAAGGTCAACATATTTGGGGACAGACTATATTTACATGTTTTCAAATCTTCCCCAATTCATGAATAACTGACTCACAAATGTCTTCTGCTATGTACACACACAGAGGAAGGAAGGCTCTCCTAGAAGCTAAAGAAAATAAGAAGGTTTTCTTCCTGGATAGCTTAGGAAAGAAGATGTTTCAGGTGCCACTGCATTCCTTTTGCACCACAAAAAGCAACTACCTACAAAAAAATCCACTTTAAGTGATGATGATTACAAAATTAAGTCTGGATTAAGAGTGCACTACTTCCATTTGTAACGTAATTTATAGGGTGAAAACCAGAGTTCATAAAGCTGAATTAAAATATAAATGTTGAGATTAATCTGTATAAATTTGTTCCTACTTTCTTTTTTCCTAGTGTCATCTGAATTTTATTCTCAATGCACTGGACTTTAGATTTTAAAGGAGAAGTGAATTTGAAGAGATCAACCTGTGTGTTTTGGTAGAGGGAATAGAGGGTGTCAAGAGACATACAGGTATGCCAACTAGGAGGCTTTTGCAATAGTATAAGCAAGAGATGATAGTGAACTGGACTAGGAGAGTGGCAGTAAAAAGAAATAGAGGGAATAAAAAACAGGACTTGATGTTTATTAGATGTGGTTATTAGAAAGAGAGAGAGGTATCAAGAAAGGACTCACTAAATTCTTGATTTGGGAATCTGGATGGGTGAAAGTAAGCACTTTCAATTGAGGAGGAAAATAAGAGAGGCGATATAGCTTTTTGATATATGTATATCTGGGGTGGTCAGGCCCAGGGATGTAAATGTGGGAAATATTGGCACTAGGGTTTGGAGAATTTTGTTTGTTGTGTTACTGTTTTTAACTTCATGACTAAAAGAGTACCTGGAATTGTATAAATCAATAACTATCTGTTGAATGAATAAATAAATGGGCATAAAGATGGCACTTAAATTTATGGGAGGGTGGGAGATTACATAGTGAGGGATTTTAGAAATCTTAAAGGTTTAATAAAATGTGTGTATGTGTGTGTAGAGGTGGGGTAGATAAATAAGTGGATGAGGAGGGAGAGAGGAAAAAGTTTCGGTAATTGAGGAATATTGGCAGTGTAATAGAAAGAAAGCCAGGAGACTATTCTATTAAAGATACCAAGATACAAGTGTGTGTCAAGGAGAGAGTGGTTACTGTACCAAATGCTGTCGAGGTTACATGAGGGAAAGTAGTGATAACAATGTCACTAATGGCTGTAACCAGGGCTAGGGCATGCATTTCTCTCTAATACGAAAGAAGGTGTTATGGGTACAGATGTACAATAGATAGGTTGATAGATTTTGTGGTGGGAATATAAGGAAGTTCCCCTTATAGCCTCTATTTTTGTTAGCCTAGAATGAATATTTAATAAATGCTATCGTTAGAATAAATAAGGTATTATGGGAGCACAGAGGATGTGGCAGGACTTACCTGCTTTTTAAGGGCATAATTTTCACTATCTTCAGCTTTCATTTTTTCAATCTTTTCTTCTTGTTGTTTTGCTTCTTTTTCATACATCATTTTTTCTTTGGCCAATCTAAAAATAAGCCAAAAACTTTTCAGAGAATTAACTCTATCAAAGAGACCACAACAAATAAATAAACTATATAAATATAAAACACTTAAAATACCAAAGTGTAGATGGCGAGAAGGAAGAAGAAAAACTTTTTATCCATTTATGTTTGATCTCCATGCCCATAAGTCCTATCTACACTCAGCTAAAGCAAATGCAATCTGTCAAAACATGCAATTCTTAAATTTTTAAAATATATATTTTTATTGATTTCAGAGAGGAAGGGAGAGGGAAAGAGAAATAGAAACTTCAATGAAGAGAGAGAATCATTGATCGGCCTACTGGGGTTTACGCCCACAACCTGGGCATGTGCCCTGACCAGAAATCAAACTGCGACTTCCTGGTTTATAGGTGGATGCTCAATCTCCAAGCCATACTAGCAGGGCCAATTCTTAAAGTTTTAATGAAAAAACATATCCCATTATAACTACTGTATTTACAATGTAAAAATAACACTCAAAATTATTATGTACTAATATTTCTGTCTTGCTTTTAAATGTTTTCCAAACTTTTATACATTTACTTGAAAGAACATAATATAAAAGCTCAGCTTACAAGAAAAAAAAATCAGTATAGTGCATGCCAAATCCAAAACAAAGAAATATTAGATTATTTTCAACAACTGACAAAAATTCACTGTACACATAATTTGATGCCTGACCTTCCTTGTGTGAGAAACTGGGATAGATAGTTTAGACATGGTTCTTTCACGGACAAGTAATAGAAACAAACAAGCATTTATTTACTAAAAGCAAGAAAGGTATTGATATAGATCAGGCAGATTTTAAACAATAAAGAATAGAGCAATACAAAGTTCTACTGATTATTCCTTTAGATAACCAGAATTAGATTAACCATAACAGCTCAACCTCCCCTAATTCTGGTTACATAAATTTTAATATAAAAGTACAGCCCTGGCCAGTGTGGCTCAGTGGGTTGGGCATTATCCCACGCAATGCAAGGTCTCTGGTTTGATTCCATCAGGGCACATGCCCAGGTTTGGGCTCAATCCCTGGTTGGAGGTGTGCAAGAAGCAGCCAATTAATGTTTCTCTCTCACATTGACGTTTCACTCTCCCCCTCTTCCTTCCTCTCTCTCTCAAAATCAATTTAAAAATCTTTTAAAAAAATTGCTTTCCGTGATATCAATTAATTCTGAACCTGTAATGTATAAAATTTCCTATTTCTTCCTTTCATCATTGTAAACAACTGTAATTGTAAAAGTTATTAAGTTTCTTATCAAGTATATACTATACCAAAGTCTGCTATAGTCAGAGTCTATGTCTATTTGGCTATGTGTTCATTAAAAATAAAGTTTTCTGATCATTAAAAAATTATTAAATTTCTGACAATAAGAAGAGTGTGAAATGGTATTAAATTATGGTTTGAAATATTAATTTATTAGAACAGTAATTACTGTTGGTGGTGAAACAGCACCAGAATGTTACCAGTGATTGGACCTTGGTTCAACAACCAGGATATTGTAATTGAGTTTTGGCTAAGAAAGAATTCAGTGTCAAAACTCAAATATAAGCAAAGGTTTAGTTAGAAAGTTATAGAGGCAGAAGTGAGCTATGGAAGAAGTTGAGCCAGCTCAGGAGAAAAAGTGACAGAGGCAAAAGAAGAGCCCTTGGAGCTTAGGAGAAAGAAAGCAAACAGACACACCTGAAGGAAGAGGCATGAGCAGTTCTAGAGCTGGCGAGCTAAGAGCACTTGCACTGGGGTCCTCAGTCCTGAGAGTTTATCCTCTCCTTAAAGGTAAGGGACCTTAGGGGAGGTGTCTCAGATCTCAAATAGAATATTCATCAGCTTTTCCAGTTGTGTCCTTTCAGGGTCTCTACTGATAGGTCGGGATCAGCTGGTCATCTCAGCTGGCCTTGCTGCTTTTCTGGGCCTGGAGCTAAAACATTACTAAGGCCTAGATGTTATCTCTAATTTGACCAAAACTCTGTCTCTGACCCAAGGCTTTGTTCCTAAGATTACATATGTGATGTGGGTCAGAATCTCATTGTTTTGAGGGCTTAATGCTTAAGAGGGTAGTGGTGCAAGGGCTTGTATGGTAGTCTTAAGGGCTATTCTCTAGGTTCCTTGTTCCTCCTCTAAGGGGGTCTATCACATGACTAGCGACATCAGAGGAGGAAAAGTCAGGGGAGGGCCTGACCGCATGATTAGTGATACGAAAGATCATAGGGTCTAAATTGAATGACCAGTGATATGCAAAGGTAGGAAAGGTCAACCTAGGGGTGAGATCTGTATTTCCCGGTTTTGCTGGTTGCTAGATACTGGAGGCTTTTCAACCTGGTGATGTTTTGTACCTGGCCAATCTTCCTTCTCTGCTCATGTCTGTCTAAATGTCTAATACAGTGGTTGGCAAACTCAGTCAACAGAGCAGCAAACCGTGGCTCGAGAGCCGCATGTGGCTTAAGAGCCACAGTTTGCCGACCACTGGTCTAATATAATTACTGGATAAATATTTTCTGAATAATGAATGAGTCTCTTCTGATGAATTTGGCCCTTATTCCTTACTCTAGGGAAGGCTAAGATTTAATAAGAAAATTTAATTCAATTAAGTATATACAGTCACAATTTAAAAATCTGCTACTAAAATATTGTTTTCTGTAACAAACATACATGTTTCTATAAATACAGAACTATATAAAAATTATAATGAATAAAACCTTAAAATTCATTCAAAATTTCATTGCTCAAATTAAGTACTACTGATCCAAAATGCACATAATTCTGAAATAAAAGTTAAAAAAAAATAGAAAAAGTCTAAATTAAGTTTGGCACAAACTCACTTAGCAGCAAAATGTGTCCTCAAATGACATGAAGCTACTTTATGTAGCCTACTAAATAAATGTGAATAGTACAGGTTTTACTACAGAAATATTAATGTTTGATTATAGTACTTCTCTAAATGCTATTATGTAAATGCTCATGTAACTGTTTCAAAACCTGAAAAAATCTGAAATTCAGAAATACACATGGGCTCAAGGGTTTCATAGAAGCGATTATGGACCTGTATTAGCATTATTTTTCATTTGTCTTTCTCTTTAAACATGTATGTGTAAAAATTAATATATAAATACAAATATACATATATTTATAAATAAGACAATGTATAATTTTCAATGTCATTAAACATTCTTTTGAAAATATAGCTTTTAGTGGCTACAAATCATTTTAATAATATTGATACAACAACTTATTAAGGTGTCCTATCAGACATTTAGGAAAGCCCCATATTATAAATACTGTGATGAACATTCCCATCCCTACTCATCAATTTTGTGAGTGTGTAATATTTTCTTACTACAAAATATTTAAAATAATCATGCCTGATGAGAAATAAGACTAAGTTCTTTTCTAGTAAATCAGTGATCATTTACTGATGAATACTTCCTTTTCCTGCTATCATAAGCCACTTTTGTCATTCATTATTGTTGGTAATACACAAAATATTAAATCAATCTATCCTATTTTACCCTACTACTTGGTATTTCATTTTAGTAAAAAAAAAAACAAAAACAAAAAACAAAAACCAGTAAGCCAGATTTCTCTGTTTAAACATTAATAAGCATATAAAAATTTACATTAAAGAGATGTCAAATTATAAAGAGAAAAATAAGGAAAATGAAACATCAAGAGAAAAGAATAAAACCAATTCTTATTGATATCCAATAAGAATACAGAAAAAAAGCAAGGGAAGCTGAAACTGGTTTGGCTCAGTGGATAGAGCATTGGCCTGTGGACTAAAGTCCCAGGTTCGATTCCAGTCAAAGGCATGTACCTTGGTTGTGGGCACATTCCCAGTAGGGGATGTGCAAGAGGCAGCTGATCGATGATTCTCTCTCATGGATGTTTCTAACTATCTCTTTCTCTTCCTCTCTGTAAAAATCAATAAAATATATATTAAAAAAATAAATTAAAAAAAAAAGCAAGGGAAGATTAAAAAAAAAAAAATTTCCTATCACTGGCCAGTGTGGCTCAGTTGAATGGAGTATTGTCCCATACACTAAAACGTGGTAGATTCAATTCCTGGTCAGGGCATATACCCAGCTTGCTAGCTCGGCATGTACAGGAGGCAACCAACCAATGTTTTTCTCTCAAAAATCAATAATAAATAAAACAAAATTTCCCAGAGCTGGAAAAAGAACAACAATATTAATTGAAAGGATTTCCTAATAGAATCAGTGGGGGGGAGACAAACAAAAAAAAAACACCCCACGGTTCTGTACATTGTTGGAAACGTTGTTGGAAATTTCCAGAGATCTAAGAATATTAAAGCTTTTAAAAAGAGAATAATAGGTCATATATAAAAGGAAAACAAGTCAGATTGATATTACATTTCATGTTACTAACACTAGATACCAGAAGATAAGAAAGAAAGCAATCCCTTGAAAGTTCAGAGAGAAAATTATTTATAACCTAGATTTATAACTAAGTAGTGAGGGAAAAATTCACTAACTCACTCAGTACTTATTTACTAAGTGGCCACTAAGTCTCAGGCATGATTTCATGTACCAAGGATATAGCATGAACAAAAGTGCATGTCTATTCCATTAGACTTTTGGGTGGGGAAATAAGGACAATACATAAGTAAAATGTATAGCATGTGAGATTGTGATAAAGTGCTACAAAAATAAAATACAGTGAAGAAGAACTGGTAAAACAGAGGATTTGAAATTTAAAATAAGTCAGAGAAGGCCACTTTGAAGAGAGGGTATGTGAGTTCAGATCTGAAAAAGACAATTAGTCATATAAATAACTGATGAAAGAAATCATAGGCCAGCAGAGGTTTATTTAGATAGATAAAAATTCAAGTTTATTTACTACTATATGCCCCCTTTCTGACAAATTTAAGAATGAACTCCCACAAATTGAAGGTGAAAATCAAGAAAAGAAACCATGATCAACATAATGCAACTGTTATGAAAGGAAATGTAGAAATCCCAAGATTAA